CGACCAGACACATTATATTACTTTGAATACCATAGGATTTTACTGTAAATAACAACTTCCCTAGAGATCAGAAGTTTAAAGTGATGTGGCAAATTACGTAATGCTGTGTAGACTCAAAATAAAAGATACTTTATTTATTTATGCTCCTATATCCAAAAAACCCAGAAGTGCATTTTTCAATCCCCTATTTAAATAATTTCCACAAATCTTCCTTAAATAAAAATGGAAGTTAAGCCATAAATTTTTGGCATACGATTTTATTCAATGACAATATTCAAGTTTTGTTTCAAATTATTAGAAAAATACCTCATTCACAACATATGAAGAAAGAATACTGCCAAATAACACAAAACCAGAGTTTATATACTATTAAATAGACATGCTACATTTTCTTTTAATGCCCTCCTTAGGAAAAGAAAGCTGTGGAAATTTGCTGGTCAAAAGTATATTTAAGTTTTATCTTATACCCTAACAACAGTAAAACAAGACATACAATTTTAAAACAGACTAGGGAAAAGAAGCCCCTGCAGTTCAAAGTTTTTAACCTTACTGCATCCCATGCACAGTATTAAAATGGAGCTGGCCTAGGCAGGGTGGGTGGGCATACCACAACCTGTCTTCGCCACCCCTCTTCTCCCAACAACAATCATTAACCTGCCTCTGACAGAATTTTGCCTAACTCATTCCCAGAATCCCCAATAGTGATGCTGCAGCATCTCTAATCAATCAGCTGCTGTCCTTCACTAACCTTACATTTACAATGGTTTCCCTAATGTCTAATTTAAATCTCCCTCACTAGCATTTAAAAGCATTATTATTCTTGTCCTGTTCCCCATAGACAAAGAGGACAGTTTATTACTTTCCTCTTCACATCAACCTCTCATGTATTTTAATCTCAATCTTAAATCTTTTTTTCAACAGACTGATTCTTTTAAATTATGGGTTTGGGTAAAGTTTTCTAGGATCATGGTCCTCCTGGCTGATCTTACTTCAGGCTTGCATGAAAATCATGGATCACTTAAGGTATAACAAGGAACTATAAACACACTGATGATAACTTTCACAGAGCTATTCTCTCCACTGCCAACCTACACAACTGGTTCTTGCTAACCCCAAATATCATTAATTTAAATTTTGCACTCTATTTTGTGTTATGACTTAATCTTGCACCATTACATCAGCTATCCAGGGCATATTATTCCTAAAAGGTATTATTTCATTAACTAAGTACTTAGTAGGTTGATAGACATTTCACATACACCTATTCTGAGTTGCTGTGCAAAATCAGGAGGCACAAAAACAAACATCATGTGTTCATACACCCCAAAAAAGGTAAATCACTTAAGCAAGAACTAAATGCAATATATTATGAAGATAAATAGTTCCTTTTCAAAGAGGTGACTGTGACAGTGAGTTATAAGCAACAGGGGTGTTCTGGATTAGAAGGATTCTCTTTCTCCTCATATCTCACAGAGGTTAGATGTCATCGCTCCCCTGGCTGTTGTTAAACATTACCAGGTAAACTTGCTAGCCAGTGTTCCTTAGGCAGGGCTGCTGAAGCACTGAATCTAAATCATTAAAACAAAAGTTATTACACATTAACCATAGGCGAGTCCTTAGTGTTAATTTTGAGCTACATTTTTTAATTACATCATCCGTCATCAAATGAAACACTGAGCCTATGACTTTGTACCCTTCACCTATGTGAACGGCATCAGTGATTTTTGTTCTCACTTAAGCAATACTACTCTATTTTGATACTTCTCCCAAGTATTTTACCATACCATATTGCCATCACTGTGACATTAGCAGAGCACAAGCACTCTTACTAGTCAAAGTTACCCAGGAAGCCTTAGCAGATGTACTAAGAAATAAAAATGTATGTATGAGATAACACATTCCAAGTAGGTTTGCCATTCTGTGGCACTAAATATTTCCAACCACTTATAAACTGTAGAGTTGCTATTTGCATTTTGTACTCTATACAGTGAAAGCCTTACAGCTGCCTGTGGCAACAAAGGAAATGCAAAACTTGTTGGAAGAAAATAAATAAAATAAAACCATTTCCTACGGGACAATTCAAAGTCTCACCTCATCATCCTGAGACATCAGGGATTCTCTGTTGCCTCTGTTTTTTATTAATAATGCAGCAACAGTCTTTCAACCACTTTTTTAGAAGAGGAGCTTTTCCTTCAGAGGCAATATGAGTCATGTGATTACCTCTCTCATCTGGAGTCAAAGGCTAAAAACGAATGGAGGTTCTCACTATCAACTATAATTTGGTACCCAGAGAAACAGTAATAAATGAGTGTTTATCTACTCAATGGGGAATTTTATTTCACTCTCTACCCCCAAAGTCATTACCTGCACAAGAGGAATGAGCAATGGAAATTCACAACATCATAAACTACTACAGGCTTACTGCTTAAACAGCATCTCAAAATCATTTTCTGCACCGGAAGCTGTAAGTGAACCTATACTTCTCAACATGAGAAGAGACATTTGTTGATATGATGAAACAAAAGGTATTTACATCTCCTAAGAGCAGAGAAGCATTTTATACTCCAGATAAACAATTTCTGCTGTTCTCAGTATTATTTTCCTTGCTGAGAAAAAACCCAAACCAAACCAAACATTAATAGTCCTCTTTTTTTTTCTTAGAAACCATTTTAATAAAAGAGTGTCACAAAACAAAATTTGTATGAGTTTTTCTGTCTAAACGAAAGTTGAAAGACATTTTCTATCTTGTTGAACAAAGCTTATGTACTCAAAAGGGTTAAGTGATATGAAAATATTTTTTAATTAACTTGGTATACAATTTATGCTTAAGTATACTGCCAGTAAGCAAAGAAATAATACTTATGGATAATATCCAGTTAAAAGCATGCACAGAAACTTACTATGAATAATAATAATTTATTTTTGTCTAGAATTGGTAGTTTACTAAGGAAGAAATGAAAACCTTTGTAAATCAAATAGCAGTGAAAATGGTATCCAGTCAAAAGTCATATTTTTATTAATCTTTTTTGTTAAGTGTATTGTGGTACCATTTTAAAACTAAGACGTGAAAAGCTATCACGGTTTCAAGCAACACTTCTCCACTTCCTTCATCTTAACAACTAGTTTCTCATCAGTGTTATGTTTGTCCAAGCATGAAAAGCATAATATTTTTTTCCCCTTTTTCACATTCTGTGGAGCTATTTCAGTATAAAAATCTGGCATTATCTACTCCATTACTGATATCCCTGAAGTAGCTGTGTAGTCATCCTGTGATCCTATGCAAGAAAACACAGTAAGAACATTAGGTAATCTAATCATTAAGGGAGCAACAGAAGCCACTTACATAAATTACTGTACAGTAATTCAAAAGAATATAAGGAGATGAGATGTTTGAAGCTTAAGCTTCTTTATTTTTTAAGCCTTGAATGTATTACCTGGCCAAAACTTGGGAAAAAGACCACAAGGTAATTCCTTTCTAAGCTTAAGGGAACGAGTCAGTGTTTCTGTGTTTTCTAAAAAGAATTTTTTTAAGCAGCTAAAATGGTGCCTACTGTTTCTTACTACTTTATAGTGACTGGACTAAGTAACACCTTTAATGTTAAAACAGGCAAACATTATCAACACGCTTTTTTTGTTTGTTTGTTTTCTTAAGAGAAAAGTCAAAGTGAGAAGTACACAATCCTTTCTCCAACCAAAGGAAAAGTATTTCCTCTGAGAAAGTTTGGTTTAATGAAAATACTGTGTTTCCTTTCCTAAAACCTACCAAAATGATAATTGACACATTTTAATTTTTCTCCATCTAAAAGAAATTAAAAGTCCATCGAAAGGAAAAGGCAGCTCCAGAAAATTTACAGTGGGAATCAAGTCTTCATCCCAGAAGGTACGAGCCACATGCAAGAGTTCCATAGGTTCCACCAATCTGGCTGCTTTCAGTTACCATGGAAAACTCACACCCTGGACTTTTGCATTTCCGTCTTCAGTTCAGAATAGCAACAATCAAATTATTTCACGTTATTCAAATTATTTCTCAGGCAAAAAATAAGTTAATTAAATGTTTCTCTCTGTGTATACAAAGTGTATACTTTTCTCCACTGCGATGTTTACAGTTGTCATTCTCAGCAGACGACTAAAAAAAATGAACAACCTTTCTATGCAAAGCTCGGGGTGTTCCCACAACATCAGCCTTTGTTCTCTCACTGCATAATGCGGAAATCTTTTTTTTTCCCATTTTTTGTACACATTTGTTTTACTAAAAGACTAGTGGATTTCAGTCTCTAGCTCTAAAGTATGCACTTTTCACTGACAATAAAATTTTAAAAGCTCCAGTTTGCACCTGAGCATAATTTTAATAGCTTAGAAGCTATAAAATAGCATAGTCAAGAAAAATATCAGAATTGTTTGTGAGGCCTGGCTTATGTTTTACCAGAACTTGACTAATTTTTTACTAAAATTTTATTTTTACCAATCACTGATTTGTGATTTATCAGAATATATTTATGCTTAACATCAGCATTCTCTCTTTGTGCTCTGCAGCACTGACTATCTGAAATGGGACATTTACTAATAAGTCATCAGAAAGGCTGATCCTGGGAGATACAGGAAGATGCAGGAGAGAGCCAGAGAAAGCAGGATGGATTAGACCTTTATCTTTGTTGGTGAGCCTGAAGATTCACTCTTTCTCTAAGACTCCAAAGAAGAGCAGAAGGAGTATAAAAAAACCCCAAAACTCTGATGTTATTTTCTTAATAATTATTTCAGGACACACTAATTAATTGTGCTCTACCAAGAGAGAGAAGCAGACAACCTAAAATTCCAAAATCTTCAAATTAACTGCGGGAATCAGAAGGCTGCATGCATTACAGAGGGCAAGCACTGACATTTATTTTGTATAATGGTGCATGTCTTGAGAATAATCGCCACTGGAATATTATCCCCACTCAACATGTCAAACATTAATATAAAATCAATATAGAGCCACATTCCCAACATTTTTCACGTACCTGTGTTATGGGCCCCCGGAGGGTTTTCCACACTCAGCACCGGGCTCCCCCGAGACATGGGGAGAGGTTCACTGCAGTCCTGCTCGGCAAGACCTTGCTGCCCAGGGGGTCAACAACAGCTCAGCAAGACCCTGACATCTGTGAAGGGAAAGTGCAAGGTGAGACAAAGACGATTTCTGGTAACTTTGCTGCTCTGTCAGCAAGTCCTGAGAAACAGGAAGCATAAAGGTTGTTTTCCACAATATAGATGACATCCTTGTTTGAAATGATACAGTTGGAGTTGCTTTGTGGCAAGCCCAGTCTCAAGACGTGACAAATAAACTGACAAGAACAGCCATCCTGCCAAATACACTTAGACTCACATAAAAGCTGGATTTGATAGATCTCAAATTTTATTTTTTCCCCAAAAACATAGTTCTCTTTTGAGCTCATTACAAATTAAGTTTCTCTTCATTTTAGAGCTAAACTAGGTCTTTAACAGGCTCTGCACTTCAGCTTACCTCATAATCAGACATCACAAAAACCCAGAGTTAACCAAAAGTATCAAAATTACGAGAGAAGCAAAGCTCCAGAAGACCACATCACACTAGTTTCTTTCAAACATCCTGTAGCAGATCTCCATCCTTGTTTACACTCTCCTGGAACACTGCTCAGGCAGCTGTTTCTCAGCTAAATATCCCAACCTTGCCAGTCTCAGAGGAGCTTCATTTCCCCAGACAATGTGCATGCCTGTGAGTCATTGGCACCTTTCAAACCCAGATTTGAGAAGATTCCTATATGCATTAAAAGGTACTCGAGTTATAAGGGTGCAGTTCTAACACATTTCTTCTAGATCAGGTATTTGTACATGAACCTGTGTATAGTCAGTATGTATTTAGACAGAAAACAACAATAGTTGATCATCCTCTCTTGAAATTACACCAGCTAAGGCTACTGTCTACTCCTTAATGCTAATGTACCAAATCAGTCCTCCTAAATATGGCTATTGTAATGTTCAGAAATACACTTGAATTCCCATCTGAATCTTGTTCCTGGGTATTTTGCTTTATGGAATGGAGCTCAGTTATTCCTTTCCTTCTTCTCCCTCTCAAGATTCCAAAGCTAAGGCAAGCATTTTGCTGAGGCCCATGGAAGAAAACTACTGCTAATTTCCATGACACAGATGGGAAAAAGATCATAACCACAGCTCCTCACCATCACTGTCTGGAAAAGATACTACACTCAGTTATCACTTTCAAGATATTATCTAGCAAAATAAGATCAGGGAGGGGACTATTCAGAAAAGCAGTTCCTGCACACCTCGTTACTGAAGATGAGGAGGCAAACACAACCCCAATATCACAGGAAACACATGTGCTAATTTCTATCTACTGCTTCTTCAAGAAATTCACACCACTTTACTGCTACTCAAAGCCAAAAAAACTTATTATCCTGGATCAACACCTTTGTCTAACATTTTTATAACAAGATTTTCAGAAGAAAAGGGATCTCTGTGGAGAGATGACAGCATGTTTGGTCTCATCTGTGAGTGCGTACCAGCGATCCTCTATGGGGATGCCAAATGAACTCACAAAGCTGTAGCTTGTGAGTTGAAGTCCATGTAGCTTGTTGCCTTTAGTTTCATAACACAACAGCTTTTACAACCAAGAACTGTACAGACGAACTAACAAAGCCCAAGGCAAGTTTTGAACCTACTGAATTTGTGTTGTTGAGTCATAACACATGATGCGAAGTCATCTAAAACTTGTTACCACACACCCGTTTCCTTATCACGAGATCTTTTCTAGTTTAACCAATGCTTGCAATGTTTCTGAAACCAGATTACAGCTTTTCAAAGGTTTGAGAGTATCTTATGAATCAGCTCACAGACAAGATCTTCCACCAACCACCGACATGCAGCTTTGTTCAGTATGGCTAGTAGAAGTGGGACCTATCACTAAACAGGAGTTTGGCCAAAAACCTTATCATTACAAGAAGAGCCACAATGTCTTTTGTAGTCAAGAGAATCCTGGATTACAGGTGCTTATGATAATAACCTCACCAGAGCCCACATTATAGTCTTTATAATGGTGAAAGACCAAACAATCCCCCCTTGAAATCAAACCCATGGTTGCAGATTGTAAAAACTTATCAAAAAGCAATGCTTGGATGTAATTCTCCTTCAAAGGTCAATTTGTGAATGTAGGACATTCGGCTTCCACACACTACTTTTAAAAAAACAGGGTCAGAAAATGGAATATCTCAAGTGAAAAGTACTCTATAATGAAAATAGAGCATTTATACAGATATATGCAACACTTAATTAAGAGAAATAACCGCCACATCTTTATATTAGCAAAGGGTTTCAAAGTGATCAAAACTCCCCACCTAAACCCCACTTATCATGAGCTGAGAAGTTAGCTCTTTCTTACTCCTGACTAAGAGGCATGGGAATTCCTCTGCAGTTTATTGAAAATATCATTTGCCTATGTACTGGTACCTATGTGAGTAAAAGAAAGCTATTGAAACAATTCAGCTAGTGTTAACTGGCTACAACATAAAACATTTTTGTCATGCATGAACAACAAATTATTCTTCTACCCCAATAGACCATAAATACAAACTGTGGAAACAATTCCTCCAGTCTCATGGAACATGCATTAAAAGGTTCAACAAAAGTTATTGTCTCTGATTGTACTTCTACCATTTCATTACTGATGAGCTACTTCTATTGTCATTTGTACTTCAGTTACCAGAAATTAAAGCAAATACTAAACATCTAAACAGAGCATGCCTAGAAAAAAACACATGTGTTCATAGGCTCCAGGATTCCCTTCAGTCCCAAAGGGATTTCCAGAACCTCACAGGTATCTTCAGGTCCTACAATTTGCATTCTACTTCTCAGCTCAGCTTGCAGATGTTTAAAAATACATGCTACAAGACAATTCGCTTTTGGCTACACATCTGAGAAGTTCAAATATCTGAATAATTCCATCTGAGGTCAACTACAATTTGTGTGCCAAATTAGGCTGAAATCGAGCTGGGAAGAGCTATGAAATACTAAGATCTCTGGTGCTTGGGAACTTGTGGCTATTTATGATCAATGCACATCCTCTCTGATCTTCTTCCAGGAAAAGGAGATATTTTCAAGAAAAAAATATTAAATATAAGCTTACAACTTCTGAATCTGTAGGCTTCAATCATTTAAATTTTGCTGTGCAAGCTTGTTGGAATTCTAGAAGACAAAGGATGCACATGGCATCACACGCATTTGCATGCCAACAAGATTTGCAATAAAGATAAAACATGGGCTTCCCAGGGCTTTAACAATATGTATCACTATACACTTTAATATAAGTATAAAATCTTTTCCAGGAGCTCAGGATTCAGGTATCTAAGAGATATAGATCTAAGTGGTATAATTTCACTAAAATGTTCTTATACTGTATAGATGCAGTATGAATTATATATATGTGTTTTAATATAATCCAGTTAGCTACAAGAGAACTAACGTTCATCCCAAAATGTATGGACTATTTTTTGTACAATTCAAAATTGTGAACTAGTAACTCAAATGACTCTTACTAGTCATACTCTAAAATCACTTCCCACAAATTTCTGAATGATGGATGGTATTTCATACAACCATCTCCTGCAACATTTCAACACAATTAAGGTAGAGGCAAACAGAAAAATGATTCTCCTCTTCAGGGATTCATGTTAAAGTTAATTCCCAAACCCCAATCTAAAAGCAATCTTCGCTTTCTCTTCTTTTGGAACAGATAACACCAATATTTAAACTACTCTTGGGAAAGGACAACTTAAAACAGAATTATCCATACACAAAAATGTTAATGACATTAGCATTTTTTTCTTTACTACATATACTAAATTTCAAAGCCCAAGAAGGGATTTTAAGAATCCAAAGTAGTTATCAGCTTTCAGCACTGTTAATCTCTCTCCCACTCACCTCAGCCCATTCCCATCAGCCTCCCAGTCTTACCTCTACTTCTTCCAGGAACAGAGAATAGAAAAATGAAAGAAAAACAGAGGAATGGGCCAAGATGGACTTGGCTTTTGTTTTAGTACTGAAGAACGCAACAGGACAATTCTCTATGTGCCAGCCACATTTTTTCAGAAATAATCAGCATACTACTATAAACCTGGAACGAAAGCCTCAAATACGCTTTCGCTTTAGCGAACTGATTCCAAACATTTTGAAGATTTCCATCTATCAAGAAGCTACAGGAAAAAAATAATTAGCGTAATAAGTGTTTTCTGGTGGTTTTTCTTCCCTATTTATCTGTTATCAAACTTTAAAAATATTTTATTGAACCAAAGTCCTCTATCTGCACCAGAATATGAAATTAAAAACAAACAAACAAACAAAAAAATCCTTTTCAGGGAGAGAAAGAGAGTCAGAATCTATTAAATCTATCTTGTCTGACAGAAAATTACATGTGTGTAAAAATCTAGCTTGTCTTAACAAAAAATTAAGCTGCTTATGGTATAATTTTAAAGAACACAAACCATCACAATAGAGTACACTACAGCATGCAACTTGTACAAATATGAAAGTGAAACCTCAGCTGGATCCATTCTGTAAACTCAGAGCGTAATGATAACTATGTAATTCAATTCCTACACAAGACTTAATGTACAAAGTTTTCTGCACAAAATGTAGAATACACTATAAAAGATCCAACTTCCCTGATCACTATGGGTTCCTAATGACCACCTGTGCATTGTTTCCTTACAAAAATCACAGCAAAGCCTGGATAATATAGTTTGAGAATTTATTTTCAGTGCAACTTTTAAAAAATACAGAACTATACATTGAAATAAGCATCTCATATTTCTGGAGGAAAAAATTCAAGGCCCCTAACTGCAAGAATAGTTGTGCCAGTACCCTGAATACTGTCCTTGATCATGGCTCAGAGTAGACAATTAAGGAAGAGTATAACTCTATGACATATTCCACCTACTTTCTGGTTAAATTGGAGATTAAAACTTAACTTGAATGAGCAGAGTGCATCAGGACAGTTAGATTTTATAGTCACCATGACATCTACTCTCCATGATCTCCCTAATTCCATTTTTAACTTATTTATAACTTTGTCCTCCTTAATTTTCTCTGGCACTGAGTTCCACAACCCAAC